TAAACAGATCTAGATTTGTTTTGGAATTTATTACCTAAAGATTTGATTTTATTCAAATTTAAATAATTCTTTAAAGGCTAGTTATCACAAACCATAAGTCATCTAATTGTTTGGCCAATAACAATGATCTACATGAACCACCAATGAAAAATCTTCTAAATCCCTATTTAGAAGAGAGAGATTATTATGCTTAGAGTACTAGCACTTTATACTATGACTTACATAATTTTTCTATCTAATAAACAATAACAACTAAATAAGAGGCAAAAATTATTATTTATAGAAAAATCTAAAAAACTATAAATTGGTAAAATATTTGGCCTTCACTAATATCCATATATTAATTCAGATAATTTTAGAAATTAACTTAATCAAGTCCTTACTTGATTTTTCTAAGTCTAGAAATATAACCTTCATATTAATTATATTATAGTCCTTAATTTTTAAAATATATTTTAATCAAGTTGTATGCAATTAAACTATTCCAGTTTAATTTATGAATAATGGTTCTTAATATGTATGACTCATTAGGTTTCTAATATGTTGGTGTAAATATAAATTATAATTCTAATTAAATAGAATTAAATAAGTTAAATAAGTTAATTTATTATCAATTTAATAATCGATTAATGTATATTTGAATATCAAGTGCATCATTTGGCAATGTGTCATTATCACTCAAATATTATAAAAGTCATTAGTGGTTTGACTTAACCTCTTAGTGACTAGTTTTTCAGTATAATTAATATCATTTCATTGATAATATTCTGATTTAATATTAGAATATGAAGTATGTAACCTTAATCTTTCTTTACCTTGAGTAGCATATGCCATATCAATCATCTAAGACGTTATGTTTCTTGAATTAAGGCCATGCTGAGTGACTAAGATTAGGTCACATAATATTCCCCCACAAAACCCTCTAAAGATAGAACATGATTTTGGTTGATTAAACTAACACATGAAATCTTACCGAACAGTGTTCCGGTGGTTGATTAAACTAACACATGAAATCTTAAATTACTTAAATGTAGTTCTTTATCCTTCATAAATATCTTAAATTGAAACTCTCATGTGGAGTAATTCTTTCCATCAAAATAAATAATATAACTTTTTTCAATGATAAATAGAAAAATAGGAACTAAACTAATGGGAAAAAAAACCTTGATGTTAAAAGAATCTCTGTAAACATCACAATTATTGTGTTTGACTTTATTAGAATAAGTATTTCTTTCTATTATGTTTGTTGTGATTATGGCAATCACAATTATTATGATTGTCCTTCTTAGAATAGATTGTTTACTTTTCTAGAATAGATTCTACAATTTGTATAAATCATGCGTATTATAACTTTCTTAACATATACAAAAAATAATAGAGTTTAATATTCTTTCATAGTATTAAAGTCTTGATGATGAAGTGAAGGGTTCATGGAGCTCCTCCACCCCAACCAGTCTTCCCTAATTCCCTTTCTAGTATCTCTCATCCTTTCTTGCTTCCCATTGATCACGCTTCACCCTTACCCATTCACTGGCCCACCCTTGCCTCCTTCACCCATCACCCCACACCTTCATTCTAAATCCCTCACCCCTTCTATAGCTGCCTATCCCTTGCCTATTTGCTAATCCAACCTCCATACAAAACCCCCTACCTATTTCAAAGATTACCAAGCTTATCATATCGCCTTGCTTGCCTTTGATGATACCTTTTCTGTCATGTTTGGCACTTGCTACCCCATCACTTGGTATGTGTCTCACTCTAATCTCTTTGCACCTCATCACATATTTATCAATAATATATCTCACTTAGTTTAACCCAGCTCCTATAAGAAGGCACGACATCACCCTCATTGGATGACCGCTATGAATTCTAAGATCACAACTCTAGAGGACAACAATACTTGGTCTTTCACTTTATTATTTATTGGTCATCGTTCGATTGGCTGTAAGTGGGTTTTCAAGGTTAAATACCAGTATGATGGTTACATTGAAAAATACAAAGCCCATTTGGTTGCCAAGGGCTACACCTAGTGTAAAGGCATCGATTACACGAAAAATTTTGCCCTTATTGCTAAGCTCTTCACTATTTGTTGTCTTCTTATTGTTGTTGTTGTCTGCAAATAGCCCCTGCATCAAATGAACGTGTATAATGCCTTCATGTACAATGACCTCCATGAAGAAGTCTATATGTTTCCACCACGAGCACAATGTCTATTGCCTCCACAAATCCATATACGGTCTCAAACAAGCATCACGAAACTGGTTTTATAAGTTTTCATCTACTATACAGAATATTATTATTTTTTAGTCTAAAGCTGATTATTTAATTTTCACACAAACACATAACCAATCTTTCACTGTTATTTTATTATACATTAATGATATAATAATTACTAGGAATGATGATGCTGCCATATGAGACCTTAAACGTTTTCTCATCACTTATTTCAAAATTAAGGATCTTGGCCCTTTAAAATACTTCCTTGGAGTTGAGATTGCACGGTTCAAATCTAGCATTTCTTTTCGCTAGCGAAAGTATACATTGGATAACTTAAAAGATACAGGTTTGCTTGGTATCAAACCTTAAAATATTCTTATTGATGCAAATGTTGCTTTTATGCCTACAGGGAGTAACACCCTCAAAAACCCTACTCGTTATTGAAGACTTGTTGGACAATTGATTTATCTTACCATTACAAGGCCAGAAATCACATATGTAGTAAACACACTTGACCAGTTTATGCATGAACCTTAAAAGCACCATTTTGACACAACACGTTAGCTCCTTCATTACCTTAAAGGAGCTCCTGGCCAAGGGCTGTTATTCTCCTTGAATGGGCTATTGCGCTTAACTGTATATTGCGATGCGGACTGGGCATGATGCCCTTTTACAAGGCGCTTAATTATTGGATATTATATTGTTCTTGACAGGTCCCTCGTATCATGAAAAAGAAAAAAGCAAGTCACTGTCTAAACGTCATCTATAAAAGCTGAATACCAATCCATGGCAGCCACTACTTGTGAATTCACTTGGCTGCGATATCTTTTACAGGATCTACAAGTAGCACATCACCAACCTGCCACCTTACTTTGTGACAACAAAACTGCACTTTATATTGCAACCAACACAGTTTACCATGGAAGAAGAAGAAGATGAGAACTTTGAGATGGAATATTAATGTAACGATTAAACAATGATAATAACAAATGTCAAGGTTAGAGGTTCCACTAATGGTATATCAAACAAGTATAGTATAAACTCTTATTATTGAATTGGAAACCACACACAAAGGAGGTTCCAATCAGATTATATATTGTTAACATGATTACATTAGTCATCTTATTCAATTAATGCTAATACTTGTAAATCTCGTCAAGCATTCATGATTATAACTTATGTTAACAATAAATCAAGTTCCTTTCATAGCTCAGGTGTCGGTTATACCATACATTATGGGCTATGAAAGTGCCAAGCATTTGTTGTACCAAGTGTTATACAACATAAATCAAGATTAGTTATTTAACAAGCAAAGTATTAAAGAGTGAACAAGATAACAAATATAAAACATGTTAGTATCAAACATTAAAGTCCATATTAAGTTTACATTATACTTATTCTTACACCATTAGTGTAACCTTTTCACCTTGACATAATTAACTTAGCTAGACATAATGAAAGAAAGCAAAATAGATAAACAAAATAAGAACATAAAAGTTAACTAAGTAAAGGAAAGGAAATGAAAGGCATAAACTTAATATTAATGAAAACAAAGCATAAAAAATACAAAGAGAGAAAGGAAGAGCATGATCTTGATCTGGAAATCAAGATGCCTAAATGCATGGCAAATGCCTCCTTTTATAGGCCAAAAATGGGAACTATTGATTTGATGACTAATTGATAAGTGGGTGGCCAACTTTTGACTTGGTGACAATCTTTATCTTCTCTTGTCTGCCCAAAACGTCATTGATAACGTCAAAATTGGAGCCAGTTGCAAACATGAAAGTTGTAGGCAATTGTCTCAGCTTTCTTGTGTAAAAACTTCAGCTCATTTGGACTTCTAGAACTCCAGATATGGCCAAAATACCGAACAGTGCTCGGGCTGGAAGACAGATTCGGGCTTCTTTGTTGTTGCTACAATTTGGACTTGATAATGGCCTTTTTAGATCTTGGGCTCCATATGAAAGTTGTAGGCCTATGTCTTACCTTTCCATCCATATAAATTTGACCTAAATCTGAGATATATAGCTCCAGATATGACCCATTTACCGAACAGTGTTCCGGTTTGGATTGCACCGACATCTCTTTTCTAAGTTTGGCCATCTCTTTATCCTTGCAATTTAAGTTCTTCAAGTCATCAATCAATCCTTTCATTTATGTGATAGACCTGCATTAAAAATAGACATTTACCACAATTTATAGGTATCTTATATTATTAGATACATTATTGTAAAACATATTTTAGTTAAGGAGTTATTGATACTTCAAGTGCAAAATGATGATATAAAACCATGATAAAAACGCACTTTTAAGTACTAATCATGAACCAAGCATATCGAATTGGATTACCACACCATTCATGAAAAAATTCAAAACGATGAAATCAAGACAGCTCATGTACAAACATAATTTCAAGTCACTAACATTTTCACCAAGCCACTGCCTACACCACCCCTGTTCCAATCCCATCTTTGCAAGCTAGGTGTAGTCGATATTCACACTCCAACTCCAACTTGAAGAGGGAGTGTTAAATGAAAGATATTGGCCAACTATTGTAATAAGTATTTCTTCCTATTGCGTTTGCTATGTTTACTTTTTTAGAATAGACTATAATCTTATAAATCATGTGTATTACAGCCTTAACATATAACATATACAAGAAACAAGAGAGTTTAATATTCTTTCACATATACAGCAAAAGTTAAAGTTTGTAGTTGAAAAAATAAGTAAAGAAAAATAAAAATATTTGAATCCCATTTACCTACAAGCTGGAACCAGACAATTGCTTCCTTTCCAACTGCTTAAATTATGATCTCATCAACTTGCTCGTCCACTTGCGCTTTGCCTCATGATATGGTCATTCTACTCTCAATCTGTTGGGTCCTCTTGAAATTTATTTTCCATCACAACTGCAATGTGGGACAAAACAGGCGAAATCAGTAGTTATGAAACTGGTCGGCCCTCCACTTGATTCCTGCTAGGCTGCTATCAACAAGACAATATATCCTTTCCCATGCAGTGCATCAATTTGAGCTGCAACATGTTGGTGGGGTTGCCTAGCTATAACATATAGTTAATGCCTTTTTATATCCTAGGTCTTTGGTTAATGGGTTCGTCAAATCATGATTAACAGAATAATTAAGAGAAAATGTTCAGTCTTTGTTTATTAATCACGCGCGTCTAATTTGCTTTAGTTCATTCACGTAAACAGGAGTAGGCTAACTTTAAAAACGTTTCTTCCTGGAAATTTAAATCAACTTCTCTTCAGTTGATCTCTTTGAAGCGAAAGAATGATTCTCTCTATACAATAGCTAGCGTCCTGGCGAATACATGGTGAAAGATCATTAGGCCCTTTGGTTAACTGGTAGAGTTATTTCCTATGTCACTCTCTCTTTTATCATTAAAATCTATTTGTTTGTTCTTCGCAATCATTTATGTTGTTTTGGAGTCTTGATAATCTTTCCATGAAGATTTTTTTTTTCCTTGGCGCAGCGGGCTGTTAATGAATAGTGGCGGAATTTGATGTAAAACATTCATATCAGATTTCAAAAGCGCATGCACTGTTGCATGTCGAAAATGTATTATCCTTTTATAATTCTATACTACCTTTTGAAGTTGGAATTCAGTGTAAATTCTTACACTCGGATATTCATGTCCTTTTTAATTCGGGTTTCTAGTATCTAAAATTGTGTGCTTAATGTTTCAGGATATTCATCTGGATCTTCACCAAAACTCTCCACGCACGCTCACTTGTGCCAACTTTTGTATTATGGCGTCAAGCTCTTCCGCCGTTACTCCTCCATGGAAATATGATGCGTTCCTTAGTTTTAGAGGTGCTGACGTCCGCCATAATTTCCTTAGACATCTTTATGATGCTCTAGATCAAAATGAAATCGAAACATTTATCGACTACAAACTTGGTGCTGGAGAAGAGATCTCACGGATCCTCTTGGAAAAAATCGAACAATCAAATGTTTCAATCGTCATTTTCTCCAAAAACTATGCAGATTCTCCTTGGTGTTTGGAAGAACTGGAGAAGATCCTCGAATGCAGGCAAACGTTACAGCAAATTGTTATACCAGTATTTTACCATGTTGATCCAACCCATGTCCGAGAGCTGAGTAACAGTTATGGAAATGCACTTGCCGAGCATCAGAGAAAAATCAGTTCAGACAAGGTGGACAATTGGAAACGTGTTTTGATCGAAATAGCTAATCTAAAAGGCTGGCATTTTAATGACACCAAGTAAGTTATCACCTTTTCTTTTTTCTTTATTTTCACTCCTTGTTTGATATCAGTATAAGCATCATTTATTTGACAATGTCACGGGTGATGTAGAATGACACTGACGTGTTTTACTCCTTCCTGGAGGAATTGAGAAAGGAAAGTTTTGGGTTTAGTTAAACAATTATTATTAAGATTTAGGAGTTATTATTTATTATGATTACTAGTAAATTAGTGGTTTGTGAGAGTCTAGGTAAAAAGTTGATTGGATAAGTGGAAAACACATCATCCCCAATATATTTTATCTGAGTTGAGCTGTAATATTGTTGTTTGATTATTATTTTTATATTAAGCTTTTATTCGTTGATCTTTTCTGATATATAAGACAGATCTTCCTTCATGAGAAAGTCTTTATCTTATTAGGCAAATGCTAACCATTTTAATGTCTAAATTTTAGCATCATATTTATTTATTTATAATTTTTGTTTTTGTATCTTTAATATCTAATGATATACTTTACCATATAGTTTTACACCCTTAAGTATTAAAGTCTACAACTAAATCGTAACACTTTAAATATAAAGTGAATAAAATGATTGATGAAGAGCTTTTGATATTTTGGCCAAATCCTAATCGTAAATTGATTACAATACCCATTTTGTATTTTAAAACATGAGAAAGATTTTATTTTTTAAAATCAAAATATACTTGGAAGATTTTTAGGATTTGACCGTATGCATGAAAACAAAATATTTTTTGTTTCTTTATTGTTTTTTTTTTGGAATGAGGAAATTAATTTACAAAATTTTAAGATTTTTTTTAATTTTCAAAAGTTTTTGAAACTTTTTTAGAGAAAACCGGGTATTTTAATATCGAATTTATATCTTATAGTGTAAATATATAGCTTGAATTATGTAAAATTGGTAGAAAAACATACATGAAAATCATAAATATATTTGAAATGACCCTTGAATTTTTTATATTACTATTATTATTATAATATTAGGTTAGGCCCGCCCTAACCAACTAGGTCGAACCTAGTTGGGTTAGGTTGGACCGACTGGTTGCCATACAGATTGCCTTTTCTTTTTTACTAAGCTAGACATGGCCCAGCCATTTTGGTTGGTTCCAACCCAAACTCGCATGGTCACTGGCCTAGCCTAGTGACCATGGGGTAATTATCATGGCCATTGTATATAGAATGTAAAAGCTATAAGGGTTTTAGGAGGAGAAAAAGAAGGGAGAACTTGCCTTGCCGGAGAAGGAATGTTGCTGGTTGTGTTTCTAATGGTGCAAAAAAGATCAAGGAGTGGTTAGTAGTGGTGGTAGTAGTGAAGGTGCAGTGAAAGAAGAGGTATCGAGGAGAAGAAAAATGGAAACTGGGGAAATGAATGGCTTTTTTTCTAGACTTTGGCTTATAATTTCTCCTCCTTTAGGCCATGGAATCCACCCTTATTTTGTCTTTAATAGTGCTAAATTTTAGCTCTTGATTCGACTAGGAAGGATTTCAATTGTTGGTTCAACGTTGTCATCATGCCCTGGAAGAGTTACTGTAGAAGGGGTTGTTCAAGTTGGCCACTTTAAGGAAATATCACAACTATTATGGCTTTAATCGACTAGAAAAGCCTACACTAGGGTGTAGTTAGATATCAAGTCATAGTTTGCATGTAAGTTTTGTGAAATTTGATAGAGAGATAAGGCATTAAATGTCTTAAAAAAGAGGCCACTCAAGCGGTTTTTTTTAACTTAAATAGACAAGAAGACGAACAAGCATAAAACGACATATAGTTTGGTCCTTTTTTTACTATTCAAAACGACACTGTTTTGGACATTTTAGGGTTTTGATTTAGGGTTTTGACCAAAGTTTAATTTATCCCTCCATCTTTTAATTTGTTTCAATTACATCTCTAATTGACCTTAAACCTTTGATATAATTTTTTCCTTATTGAACTTCAATGTCAGCCTTGAATTTCAACTTTTTTTTACTTTAGTCATGGGTCCTGGATTTATGCAATTTGACCTTTAATTGACCTTCAAACTTTTAACTTTTTTAATTTTACTTTTGATTTCAATCAATTGAATCCTCATAGTTTGGTGCCTTTTTGCAAAGTGGTTATTGGTTGTGAATTTCTACAATTAAACCTTTAATTCATACCACAACTTTGATTTTCTTATAATTTTACCATTGATTTTAATCAACTAACTTGGTAAAAAATCAATTTGGCCTCCTAAAATTTCAATCTTCTTAATTAACCACAAATTAGGTCCTCAGACTTAATTATTCATCAATTAAACCCTAAATAAAATTAATTTAAATTATTTAAAGTATAATTAAGTCCTTGCACCTAATTAAATATTTCAATTGGACTCAAATTAATTCTTAAATATAATTCACTTTAATTTGGCCAATGATTAAAACATATAACTTGATCTTAAATCTGCATTGTCTCTTTAGTTTTGGGTAAAATAGAGTACAATTATGCTCCCAATTCCATCCAAAATTACAACATGATTTTTCTACATTTGAAATCCTCTAAGCTTGCTTTTGCCAAAATATTAGTCTTCTTGCTATCATTATTTTATTATTTTATTTTTATTTTGAAAATGAAAAAAGATAAAAAATTTAGGGAATAACCCAAAAATTATGATAGAAAAAACATTGAATTTATTTAAAGAAATTTTTTCTTGTAAACACTAAAATGTCAACATGTCTAGCCAATGATCTAAGCTTTTTATGACTAAGCAAATTAAATTTATTAGGGTTTGCATCTAGATTAAATTTATTAAGTTTGGTTTCAAATTAAATTAAAAACAAACTCATTCCAAATATATTTCATGGTTCCTACTTTAATTTCCTTCTAAATAAGGGTATTTTAAATAATTTTGATAACATTTTTTTCTCAAATACCTCTTAGATAAAGGATATTAAAAGGTAAATAGCTCATAGTCTGTCTATACATAGACAACAAGGTCACCAAATAAAATAAAAAGACATAGAAGACAAAAGATAAAAGATGAAAGACAAAAAAGAAAAAATAGAGAAGAAAAGGAAAGGAAAAAAAGAGAAGAAAAGACTAGAGACCAAGTATAAATATATGGAAGTTCTTGTCACACATGTACGACGTCACGATGATTATCCCCCTGGATCGGGAATGGTCGAGAATGGTGTAGGTGAAAAGAACAAGGAATTATTGTTAATGGTGTAGGTGAAAAGAATAGGAAATTATTGTTCTTTATCTATATATATATATATATATAAAAAGTATTGTTCTTTATCTATATATAAAAAAAAGAAAAATTAGAGTTGCCACCTAGTATTTTGGTTACTAGAAACCTTAACTAGTTTTAGAGTTCGGGTACGGGAACTAGTTGCATAAATAGAAAGTATTAGAACCCTTAATATGCCTTACCTGGTGGTAAGCTGCATTGTTCATTTGTCTAATATAAGCTAAGATATTGTTATGTTTTGTAATCATTGGACGTCTGTCTAAAGTTGAAGAAAAATCCTCATCGATAAGGAGATCTTATTAGGTAAAAAAAACCTAACCATTCTAATATCAATATAAAAACAAAACGAATTAACTTTTCATTTAATATCAGGAATACATCTTACGTATAAATTCATAATTCTAGATACTAACCAAAAAAATAATTTTTTTGGTATTTTTTAAAATATAGGTCAGGTTCTCAAGGCTTTAATAAACTAATTATTAAAACCTAAAATGCATGAAAATACATATTCTTGAATTTTTGTATGGAGATACAATATGATATTTTTTACATTTTTGAGAGACTTGTCCATATGCAAATTAAAATAGAAATTATATTTTTAAAGAAAAGATTTTTTGTTATGTTTTTTAAAGAGAATCAATTTGTTTAATATTGAAAAAGCACCTCACGTGTATGTCACAATTCCAAATACTAAATATGAAAGGGTAAAAACAAAAGTGGGGGTATCAAAATTGATTTGCAAAATTTTCATCGAACTTTTAAAAATTTAACTAAAGCCACATTCAACGAAACACAATAATATGTTTTAAATCAAACAAGATATCAATTTAAAACAACTTATTTACTATTTGAAATTTGACTCAAAAGCAAGCAAACATCGAACATTCATACCAATTTTATTAATTCACATGCTTCATTCAAATTTCATGCTAGTCTAAATACACCAAACATCGACACCAAAACAAACTCATATGTTAATATTAACGTTCATAAAGCAATCACAACCCAGAAAATAAATCCATAATTCAACATAATAAATCAAATTCTTTTGAAACTAAACACAAGTCAAATCAAATTAACAGTATAAAAAAGTCCAAATATTATACTAAACACCAAACATTTGGTTATAAAATTCATGATATTTTAGCAATGTGTCCAATAATGGTTTGAGTTCATAAATTGACCTATTAAGATGTTTAATGTATACGAGAATTACTGGGATTACTGTTGGCACGTGGATTCACGCATTGCCACTACTGGAGGATGGCTAGCTATTAGATCCGAAACTCCTCTCTCTCCTCTTCACTCCAATAGAGGTGTTCTTTCAAGTTCTCCGATGAGGGAGATCTAGCCTCCCAAAGCTCTGATCCCCCATTTCCTTTTTTTTTTTTAGGCTAGCAGTGAAGATCAACGTTATGTCTTCTCTATTTTAGGACTAAAAGGTTATTAATATGACTGGGTTTTTACTTTAGTGAGTGGCAGTGACAAGTTGTTATGTTGATAACCATAATTGGAATCAAAAGATAGGGGAAAACACGATTGTGGATGGTGGCTTTATCATGGATATAGTGGTGGGTGAAGGTTGTTGGATTTGTGGGTATTGCTATATATAGGCTGGAGTAAAGGAGCTATGGTGGCTAGTGAGTATGTATATACTTACATGAATGTCTATGTATGCTCTTAGTAGTCTATTAAGTGAGAAGGGTAATCATGACTTATGGTTTGGTAGTGGTGGGTTTTTGTGCTAGTATTTAAAGGTCACTATCGGTTGAATGGTCTGCTAGGATTTGGTGGGAGGCTTTAGTTAGTGAAGAGGGAAAGTTGTTGGTTATGCAACCAAAACTAGAGCTTGTGGGCTATGGTATGAAAGTAGGGGTATTGGTGATGGAAGGTAGCTGGTAGGATAATCGACAATAGGGAAAGATGGTGGATTTGTTTTGTGCTTCTTTTTTTATATAGTCAGTTGTTTTTTTTATTAAAAAATATGGAGGGATGTGACAGGAGGAAATAGACTAGTTTGGTTAGGCGATTGAGGTGAAGGTGGAGGATGGCTAAGGCTTTTTTGTGTTGGTGGTAGCATGTTTGTGTAGAGGGAATAGATCTAGGGTTTTTTTATGGCTCCCCCTTTATTATGTGAACATGAGCACCTATTTATAGGTGAAATTTTTTTCTTTCTTTCCCAATTGTTTGGTCCAATATTTGTGTTTTGATTTTTTTTGAAATGGAGCAATATTAACATTGACTTAATAAGAAAAATCAATGATTTTAAAAATAATACATTAAAAGCCCAACGTATTAAAAAAACATTTGAAATTTGAATCCTTTTAGGGCAATGCAGAAAATGTTGAAAATGATGCAAATATATCAAGAACATCCTTTTTGGGGTTTTATTGTTTTTTGCTATGTTTTTTTCAAAAATACTCCAAAAATGGGTAGCAACAATTCTCTCAAAGAAATTCAAGTTCATTAAGGAAGCAAGGGATCAAAATCCTTTCCCTCGTTCAAATTAAATCATGCAAGGGATCAAAATCATTTCCTTTATCAAATAAAATCAAGTTAAGATCTCACATGGTTAAAGCTTTGAGACTCATGTTAATACTATTTATCTTCATTAATTCAAGCCAAATTTAAAATCTCACACTGTTAAAGCTTGCTTGTTTGAATACTTTTTATCTTTGTTAAATATAATCAAATTAAGATCTCAAATGGTTAAATATTTCAAGCTTATATGGATATTCTTCATCTTTATCAAATAAAATTAAGTTAACATCTCATATGGTTAAAGCTGCTAGGCTTGTGTGAATACTCTTCATCTTTATTAAATAAAATCAAGTTAAAATAACATACGATTAAAGGTTTCAGGCTCATATAAATATCTTTCCATCTAAGTAAGATTCAAATATGACTATTAATCATTGGATCCATGCACGTGAAGAGCATCTCAATAGAGTTTTCACCTTTTACTTATAATCAAATTCAGTATTATACTTGTTTCATCATTAATTCTATGTATTTTTAAAACATAGAATTTTATTTGTACATAACTTTTTAAAATACCGTTGAGTTTTATATGATTGTTTCCACTTACTATGTTTATTTGTTATACATGTTTTGCAGGAAAGAGCCTGAACTAGTCCAGGAAATTATTGATTACATTATGAAGGAGCTAAAACCTTTATCCTCAAGCAATTTTGGTAACTTGGTTGAAATAGGTTCATGTAATAGAAAGGTTGATGATAGTGAATATTTCATGTAACCAATTGGTTGGTTACACGTAGCACTAAATTTATTCACTTTAAACATATTTATCATTAATAAAAGGCTTTATTTATCTTTAATATTCAACTTTATTTGATTAACGAATATAATGTTTGATTAGTGAATCTAGAGTAAAAATACAAGCTTATTGAACAAAAAAGTTTTGTATAAAAAATTATAAAGTTATTACTTTTATGAGATTGCTATTACATCAAAACGTTATTCCTAAATATTCTTGGTCAATGTTCTATTAAGATTGGATATTAATTAGAATTGTTGATACTAGTGCATATTATGTTCTTTTATTTTTATGAAATGAAGCAGTTGCTTTGATAAACTAAGGTACGAGGGATACTTTGAACTAATATGCAAGTGCTTGTTAGATAACATATATATTGAATTGACTCTCATAGAATTCTATATGGAGAAATCACTTATTTTTATGAAAAGGCTTATATGAAATTTGTGTAAGTGATAACTAGACTTAAGATTATTAAGTTATCTTTTATGAAGAGTGTTATGATTTAATTAACCATACATTATTATAATCAAGGGTAAAAAATAGGTAGATATTATGTATAACATAAACCATATGAAAGTATTTAAATAATTAAGAAAGGATAAATCACCTTGAGTGAATTAGAAAAAATGTTATATCTATTATGAAATAGTATTGATTGTGAAATCTTTGACTAGGATCGAATGAGATTTGAAAAGAGTTTCAAATCTTATTTAAAAAATCAATAACTATAGCATTAAGAACTAAAATAATTTAACAAAGCATACATACTTCATGATATAATATCTAAATTGAAATATTATTAATGAATAAATAAAAATAACACCGAGAAACTGATCACTAAAAGGTTAAATTAAACAACTTATGACTTTTTTAATACTTGGAGGATCATGATAAGTTGTTAGACATTATACTTGATCTTCAAATATAAATCAATCAATTGTTAAATTGGTGATAAATTAAATTGTTTAATTTATTTAATTCTATTTTATTTAGTATTATGATTTATATTTGGACCAACTTATTAGAGAACCTAACAGGTCAATCACATAAAAGTCATTGGTCAAAAATTAAAATGAGATAATTAATCAAATATAAATTGATTTGAAATAAGTTTTAGAAATTAAGAACTAGAATGTAATTAATACAGTGGATTACACTTCTATAACTAAAAACAATTAAGTAGAAAATTGATTTAATAAATTTATAAAATCATCTTAAAATAATATATATGATATTGTTTAATGGGTAAATTGATATTTTTTTTTCATTTATATGGTTTTTAGGTTTTCCTATAAATAGAATATTATAACTTAAACACAAAAGAATATATCTAGCACTCTATGGTATGACAATCCCTCTCTTTTAAAAGGGTTTAGAAGATTTCTTACTGGTAATTCGTGTGGATTACTCTTAAAGGTTGAACACTTGGATGGTTTATGGTTTGAGATAACCTATCTTTAAAGTAATTATTCAAAGTAAAAATAAATATTTAATCTTTAATTAATATATATAAACCTTAAAAAACTATAGACTTGTCTAATATGAACCCTAAAACTCCTAAAAATTTTAAATTTAACATTTTCATTGCGATTGCACGTTCTAAGGATACCAAGTATGGAGTCGTTACCATGCATTGGATCACCAGGTGTATGTACGATAGGAATTTAGGGTATGGGTGGTATAGGTAAGTCAACACACATTGAAGCTTTATTTAACTAAATCTCTTCTAGATTTATACGTGAATGTTTTCTTCGAAATGTTAGAGAAAAATTAGAAAAGCATAGAGTAGTTTCTTTACGAGATGGAATATTCATTTCTCAAGTATTAATGATAAATTATTTTAGCAGAGGCACTTTCATCTTATCCCATCGTATTAAGGAAATGCTTCTGAAGATGGATCCTCGTTGAAGAGAAGTTATGCATCCTAAATTGGAGTTTTGTTATCAATATTTTCGTGTGTATTTAAGTAGACCATAAAATCAATAAAAGATGTACTTCCTGTTGTTACTCATTTTTTACCTAAAAAAATCATGAAAAAAATATAAAAAGAAAATACAAAAATATAGAAGAATACAAATGAAGAAAGCCCGAAAGATTGCCCCTTGTTAGTGGTAAAGGACTAAAATGACAAAAGAAAAAGTTGGTGACCCAATTTTGATTGATAGAAGACCCATTCAGTGAAAATGTTGTTTTTTAGTGTAAAGAAATATAAATTTAGGATGAGTAAGGACTCAATGAGAATTTTGAAAAGTTTAATCAATTTTATTGAGGACTTGATTGCAAGGAAAATTAGTTTTTTGAAGTTAATTCAGGTGTTAATTTGAAGAAATTTAAGCCTAGGGACTAAAATTGGACTTTGAAAAGTTTAATTGGTTAAATTAGGAGCTTAGTTGTGAAAAAAATAAAATTTAATAACTAATTAGGGGTTTGATTGAAAAAATTAAAAATCAATGACCAAATCATAAAAGGCGCGAGACTTCAAGAGTTAAAATTGATCAAATCAAAGGCCAAATTATAGAAAGTTAAAAGTTTGATGGTCAATTAAAGGTCCAAATGCACAAATCTAAAAATGGACTAAGATGAAAATGGCATTAAATTTTAAGGTTGATAATTGAGTTTGATAGGGATAAATTGCATTACATTAAGAGTTGATAAGACTATTACAAGTGTAATTAAAAGCAATTAGAAAAAAAGGACTAAAATAAAATATGTTAGATCTCAAATTAAAAACCTAACTTCTAGGGATTCAATCTAGATGACGCATCTTTCACCTACTATTCATCTCCTTCCTTAGCAGTTTTAGATGATTGATTTGGCACCTTTCAAAAGCTTGTTTTGGAGTTCTAGCTTCCAAATGACACGAGGTTTTTTGCAAATGAAAAAAGAACATCCCCTTTATAACTATATTTACATGAAATTAGACGTGTACATCTTAATTCTTCTATAGAAGTCTCTTACACCTTATCCCTAATCAACCATCACTAAAGTTTTAGATTTTGAGCTAATCAAGTTGACATATTTGAATAAATGAATATAAAACTACAGACCTTCAAATTAAGCAAGATTTGATCAAAACAAAAGGTATACACCTTCACTACTAAATTTATATAGTTTCTCAAATTAAGCAAGATTTGATCGAAACAAAAGGTATACACCTCCACTACTAACTTTATATAGTTTCTAATGATGTTTATATTGGAGCTGCTCTAGTAAAGCCTCAAAAGTGGTCAACCATGTTAACCCAGACTATGATACCCATTTTTCAAAAGCCATTAATTTTTTTGTGTGCTTACACTTAAAGCTTGTCAAATGGTTCTTATTAAAGGCTTTAAATCTCTATCTCAAAATCAAAATACTAGAAAGAGCTCTTTGCCCTCCAAGTCTAGAAAAACCATCAAGTATCCCTAAATAAAAACCACTATTGCTAAATCAACCAAATACAAAAGCTTCTTGTTGTTAGCTTTTCTCTAGAACTCTTTTATTTTGATTAAAGGGCTGAGCTTTGATCAATTTTGAGGGAATCCACTAAAAAACCTAGAAAAAAAAACCCTAGAAATGCCTCTAGAAATAAAAAAAAAAAAAGAGAAAATAGAGAGAAATAACATGAGTAAATATCCT